CCTATGAATACAACTGTAGTGATTTACACTCTGCCTATGAATACAACTGTAGTGATTACACTGCATATGAATACAACTGTAGTTGTTTACACTCTGCATATGAATACAACTGTAGTTGTTTACACTCTGCATATGAATACAACTGTAGTGATTACACTCTGCATATGAATACAACTGTAGTGATTACACTCTGCATATGAATACAACTGTAGTGATTACACTCTGCATATGAATACAACTGTAGTTGTTTACACTCTGCATATGAATACAACTGTAGTTGTTTACACTCTGCATATGAATACAACTGTAGTGATTACACTCTGCATATGAATACAACTGTAGTGATTACACTCTGCATATGAATACAACTGTAGTAATTTACATTCTACATATGAATATAACTAGTGATTTACACACTGCCTATGAATACAACTGTAGTGATTACACTCTGCATATGAATACAACTGTAGTGATTACACTCTGCATATGAATACAACTGTAGTTGTTTACACTCTGCATATGAATACAACTGTAGTGATTACACTCTGCATACGAATACAACTGTAGTTGTTTACACACTGCATATGAATACAACTGTAGTGATTTACACTCTGCTTATAAATACAACTGTAGTGATTACACTCTGCATATGAATACAATTGTTGTGATTTACACTCTGCATATGAATACAACTGTAGTTGTTTACACACTGCCTATGATTACAACTAGTGATTACACTCTGCATATGGATACAATTAGTGATTACACTCTTCATATGGATACAACTAGTGATTCACACTCGATAAATACAACAGGTGATTTACATTCTGCTTATAAATACAACTGTAGTGATTTACACACTGCCTATGGATACAACTAGTGATTTACATTCTGCATATATGTGATATGAGAATTTCATAATTACTGACTAGGTGCAATGACAAGAACTTGTAGTATATTTGTTTTGAAACAGTACAACTGTAATTGCTCTGTTAAGTACATCTTCAACAGATGTGCACATACTGTATGGTGGATCATTAATATTAACTTATTTTAACCATAGACTCACCTCTGACATTTACATGTATGTAGAAGCCTACTTATAAATGAAATACCCAGAATTTATTTATTTTGCATTAAATTGTACTTGACTTTAAAAGGTTAGGTCACCAGCCTAATTTTCGAGAAAATGATGGTTGTATTTTAGTGGATATTTGCTGTTTTGGCAATATTCTAACGCTTTTACCGGGTTTCTAAATGTAGGCTGGTAAAAATCTTGTATTGATAGGGTACTTGTTGTTGTACTGAATTATTTCAAAATATTATAAGTTTCTCAAAAAACATCACTGTAACACACAAAAGAATGTTATTTTACTGTGCCTAGGAACAATAGCTCCATGATTGTGAATAATAAACCAATACAAATAAGTTAGGCTTTTAACTTAAAAGTACATGTACAACTAAAAGAAGCAAATGCAGTATAAAAAGCGGGTTAAATTCTTCCAAATATCAAAATCGACTGGTAGCCTATGGTTCATGGATATACCTACAAACAAACAAGTGATCATGGGGTTATCTAGTATTAACTACTGACTTTAGGATGATAATACCTTTTCATTGATGTTTTTTGATAGTCTTTCAATTTACAATTCTTTCACTATGTTTTTTGACAGTCTTTAACTTTACAAGACCCCCAGTCAGCAAGTTACATGGACTTAGCTACTCAGTTTTTTATCAGGGAAGATGATGTCAAATCTGGCAGAAATCGGTAAATATAAATAATTTTGGTTCATTATTTTTCTTTTCTTAGACATGCAGTAACTGATTGATATTTAAACATAATTATAGATTGGCTTTATAATGTGTTTCAATTCTTCAGACGACTTTGTCTTTCGGTAACCAGAAGTAGGCTTTGCAGTGATTAATGATTACAAATGTTTATGTTAACAAAATAAATTATCACTGTGGCAGTTTGTGCATTATAATATTATCAGTGATGGCTGGAAGGATGTATTCGTCAGTATCTCAATCAAATTGCTGTTTGGACACTACACATAGATCTTGATAGATGGATTCATCTTGTGTACGTCATGTCTTCTTGCTTTGAAGATGGCTGACTGTCGGCCATTTTTGGTCAGAAATGTGCATTCCATAGACAAGGCATGGATATGCGTACATAGCCAAGGCATTGATCTGCCTAATTAGTCCCAGTTCTGACGCAGTCCGAAAACAGTGACTTATAGATTGACCTTTGTGCATCCATGCGTTCATGTGTCTGTGCGTTCGTTCGCGTTCAAATCAAATGTGGTAAATTGGGAATCATTTAATTTAATTGACCAATTCAATTTGAAAATATTAGAATTCAGTGTTCTATAAAGTTATATAGACATGTTTGAAGTGTTAAGCTGCATTTAAAAGTTGTACAGGCATCTTCCTAAATTGGAAAAAGTGCGTCACATTTCACGTCACATTCAGACGTTTTTCTTTATTACATCCAATTAATCTAGATGTGACGGAAATATAATCCTGTTACTGAATGCAATCAATTGTACAAATGTCAAAAAATAATTTTCTAATTTGAAGTGTTCGAAAGTATTTGAATGCATTACTGATTGCTGTAAATACTGTTTTTGTATATTTTATACCAAATATGTTTTAAGAATTATAAAATGATACTGATAATGCAAATATTTTGTTTATAGAGCTGAAGTTAGCCAACCACTTTTATCTCAATTGAATCCATATGTATCTGTGAAATCAACAACACAGCCACTGACAGAGGATTGTGATTTGAAATGTTTGAAAGAATATCAGTGCATTATTTTAACAGGAGCATCCCTGGCTCTGCAGCTGAGGATTGACCATTTTTGTCGAACTCAAAATCCACCCATTAAGGTATAATTTCATTCTATAGCTTAATATTCCATTTTGAGATCCACAGCTGTGTGATTTAGTGGATCATTGACCACATGTTGCCATTATGTATTGGACCATATGGTTTCATGAGTCACTGTTAAGTCCATTGTTAGTGTTCACCACACCCTTACTACGCATCTATATACTAATGCCACCAGTTGTAGCAAATTTTAAAACTCTTCCTAATCGGTGATTCACCATACATTAGCAATTCGTTGGTAATTTTGAAAAATGTTCTAATTTTGTTCAGTCATTTCAGACAAAAGTGTTTTCAGTTAAAGTTATTGTTTGACACCCAAAATATGCCAAATAATTCAAAATTTCCCATGCAATAG